CCGCCACAAACAAGTTTTTTGATAGATCCGTCATAGCCACATCTCCATCCTCCCCTCCAACCCGCCTCCCCTCCTCCACTCCATACTCCTCCCTACGCCTCTTAGCAACCGCTTCCATCACTAAACCCGCCCCCTCACCCTCACCATTCGGATTTCCCGAACCAATCCCCCCGGACTGTCCCACGGCGTGTCCCTCATCCCGGGGCATCTGCTCCTCCACCTGCGTCAACCAATATTCCCCAACCGCCCTCGGCCCTCTCTTTATCCCCGCCCGAAGATCTGCGGAATATGGATATTCTTCTACCGGTAAAATTGAATCCCTAGCCATTCGACAAAACTTGTACAAATGACCAAGTTTTCCACAGTAATAGCAAAAGTTGTGCAGACGCTCATACTTGAAAGTCACCCAGCATGTAGACTTATCCCTTTTAACAAAATTCAGCCTTCGTTTCAACGGCTTGTCTACCGGTATTGCAACACGGATCCGGTAGAAAACTTTCCAGGGTGCACCTGAAAACCTGTCATCTCCTTTTACAAAAGTACCAAGATAATTACCTATCTGTTCCAGGATCTTGTCAGACGTATATCCCATTGGAAAACCATGAACCTGTATCCACATCCGTACCGTATCCAACTTCACATCATCGGGAAACCCCCCATCCACAAGTTGATCACATACCAATGTCGCATTCTCGAATGCCCACGGTCCATCATTCAGAACTCTTTGTAAATCAGTAACATGGTGAAAAGTGAATAAAAACAACCGGGGCTTTATCTCCGAAACCTGCATACCCGCAACCGGCTGCTAAGCCGCCGCCATCACCTGTCTCATATACTCAACCTTCACAAGCTTATGCGTCAGGAACCTCCCCAACAACAACCACCGCTCCGCCTTCTCCCCCGCAACCACCTCATCCGCATCCAACACAGGCGCAAAGGGTGCGGCCTCCTCCTCCTCAATCGCTAAATCCGCCCATCTTGCCGTGATAGCTGCCACAGCCCCGCCTGCATGTTGCTCCTCCATCACACTGCCGAACAGCACGTCCTTCCCAGAAGCTTGATCAAGAACCGGTAAGAATCACCGGAGTGGATTACCGATTGAAACGTGGAAGCCTTGGAAACCCTAGGAGTGGAACTTTGAACTATCGCCCAATTTATTTAATTTGTTAAATGTGTCATTTTCGTTTATTAGTTTTTTTTTTTTTTTAATTTTATCGTGTACAGACTATAATAATAATAATTTTTTTTTTTTTTACTATTCATATCCATTTCCGCATGATCACCTTATAAATAGTATAATATTTTCCAGATTCTGTTGGATAATTGTGATTTTTTTAAAAACAAAATAATTGTCATAGAAAATTTTGTTTGACCTTGTGACTTCTGAACCTCCAACAAATCAAATTCTATTGGTAGTTTGGTACTCTATCAGATTTTCTATCAAGAACAACTCAAAGTCAGGCTGAACTTTTTTGAATGGATTAACGAATTAATTAGAAATGCAAAATAAATTCTAGATAAATAATGAAGTTTACTAATATATGTGTAACCTTTCAAAAAAATTATATATATGTGTAAACTATATAAAAAAAAATAGTACTTATTATTTATTTAAATGATTAAACTTCAAAATTATAATAATTATGAGCAAATACCAATTTTGGTCCCACGAGTATTAGCAAAATGACAGTTTTGGTCCACATGTTTAATTCCTACCAATTTTCATCCACAACTATTATTTTAATACCAATTTTCATCCACAACTATTATTTTATGCCAAAATTCATCACACTGGTCGCCCCTTCGTTTAAGACATGCCGAAATATGAAATTATTAAGGGTAGTTTCGTGCTTTTCAAATTAGGATCCCTATTTGAGCATGAATAAAAGGGATTTAAGCCATAAGATCTATCCCAATTCGCAGTTTTCCTCCTCAAATTAAGGTAGGATGAGGAGATTTATTTATGCTCATATTGGAATCTTAAGTTGAAAATGACGAAATTGTCCTTAAAATTTTTAGATTTTTGGATGTCTTAAATAGATGAGTGACCGACGTGATGAATTTTGGTACTAAAATAATAGTCGTGGATTAAAATTGGTACTAAAACAATAATCGTGGATGAAAATTGGTAGAAATTAAACATGTGGACTAAAACCGTCATTTTGTTAATACTCGTGGGACCAAAATTGGTATTTGCTCTAATAATTATATTAAAAGTCGACTTACTAATTACTCTAAATTTTTAGGAATTGTCATTAGAACGCTGATGGCTACTTTCTCAACCTACTGAAGTACAAAGAGTCAATACCACACATCCATGGCCTCTCATTTGGGAGAACCACTTCATGCCACTAGACCATAAGGTTATTGACATCGGTTTGAGATTGATTACTACTTCATGCCACTAGACCATAAGGTTATTGACATCGGTTTCTTTTTTTTTTTTTTTTTTGGGGTGAATGTATCACCTTTCTCTGCAGCTTGTATATATTTATCTTTTTCCCCATCATTTTTTTTAAAGAATTGAAACATCACAACTTGGCTACAAGGTAAAACCACCAATTTTGAATAGAAATTTCAAAAAGCTAATGTTGCAAACACATTGGCCGTGTTTGGTAAAAAATTGGCCTATAGGCTAATTTTGGTTTATTTGACCACTATTAATTGTTTGATTTAGTTAAAATATCAATAGAAATGTTTGGTTAATTAGCTTTTTGCAACTCCAAAAGGCTAAAATTCAAAAAGTTACTCCAAGCAACTTTTTCAATTAGCTTTTTGAGAAAAGAAATTATACTAAACAGCTATCAACTAACAGCTAATTTACCAAACACTTTTCTACAATTATCTAATGTTATCAACTATTTATACCCTTTAATTAACACAATCAGCTAACAGTCATTTTACCAAACAGGACCATTACCAATTGTTGCATTGAGTGAAGAATTGTGCAAAATTAATTACTAAACCCACATCAGTCTAATGCCATTAACACAACAAATGCATCTCATGAAAAGACAAATATATACCAATTGAAATTTTAAATATCACTCACTTTCATGTGATTTCAATAAACATCTCTTGATCAGAAATTCGAAAGCTAATCAAGTTCATGAGTTTCTACGACCTCAGTTCTCAATTTAATACTCTATCCTACTTTTCACACAATATATTTCAATAAAAAATTCACCTCGTTCAAGAACACTTTACTAATTAAATGAACAAAAAAATACATTCAAAGGAACAACAAAGATGCAAATAAGTGAGTAGATACATTAGATAATGTAAAGAAAACCCTAGATTTGATTTGAAAGCAATAAAAGAGATTAGAGAGTTTTGAGAAAACATACTTGTTTGATGTTGGACTACTAATTATTGCTCAAAAAGATAGGGACGAGAGTGTTAGCAAGTCTTCGAGCCGGCGTTCTATGTTGAGAGACCAAAGAAGAAGAAGATACGCGATGTGAGGGAGAGGGGGCAAATAAATCAAACATCAATTTTATGTTAGAAAAAGAGAATGATAATTTCATCTCAAGGGTCTTTTTTTTTTTTTTTTTTTTTTTTTTCCTTCCTAAAAAAAGGCAAAATTAAAAATATTAGGGGGATGCATGAGATCCTAATTATGTGAAAATGAGGGAATTGCAATTCAAATGTAATTTCCTCCAACCAAACGAAAGAATTTGATTACCTTCGAAATAATGTGGGAGTGCAATTTTAATTCCCTCCAACTAAATGAGCTATTAGAGGGCGTTTGGTAGCTATGAACATTTAAACTTTTCAGTGATTTAAAATGCGATGAAATCATTTTCACATTTGGTGCGGCTAAGGAAAGTCACAGGTAAGTTTCTTTTTATTTGGTGACTAAAAATCTACAAAATTTATTCTATTATTTAACTGTTTCGTATATTAAAATCTCTTATAAATATAAAAATATCGTTCGCACTTTCCCACCCTTACAAAGGATAGTAAGTAGTAACACTACTTGTCGAAGAAATTTGCATCCATGTACATATAATTACATTGTGATTTATGGTTATTCTTTTATCTCAAGTCTCAACATGGGTAGATGCATATATTTTTGTTACCAAATAAATTGAAATCTATTTGTTACATGTTAACAATGGGGTAGGTAGGTGTTGTAAAGTTCAGGTTCTATTTGAAATCCATATAACTATAGCATGTTCTTCTATTTGGAATGTCTTAAAAAATATTGAGTTAATTCCAGCAATGGTCCTTCGACTATATTGATTTTCTAAAATTAGTCCCCGATTTTTAATTTGGACATTTTACATCTCTTGAATTTCAACTTCTTTCCAATTGCGGTCCTTTCGTCAGATTAAGGTAAAGTGGACTTTAAATGAAATGGTAAAGTAGTCATTTCATATGCTTAATGTATAATTATTTGTATTTCTCTTTTGTATGCGCGGCTTCGGACATCAGATTCACTTAATTGCTTAATCCTTAATGGAATTTTGTTCTTCGAGTGGATTTTGGGATTAAGCAATTAAGTGAATCTGATGTCCGAAATCGCGCATACAAGAGAGAAATACAAAGAATTATACATTAGGCATATGAAATGACTACTTTACCCTTTCATTTAAAGTCCAATTTACCGTAATCTGACGAAAGGACCTCAATTGGAAAGAATTTGAAAGTTAAGGGACGTAAAGTGTCCAAATTAAAAGTCGAGGACTAATTTTGGAAAATCAATATAGTCGGAGGACCAATGCTGGAATTAACTCAAAAATATTTAAACCAAGTAAACATATATTAATTATTAATTTCTTGGAAGCTACTGACTCTAGTACATTATAGTATCTGTTTCTCCATTAATGTTCAATCTCATGACCTCCTATATAGAAAAGTCACCACATGTCATCTGAGCACAAAGTGCTTGACAATTTCTCAAGTGATTTAATTGATGAAAAATTTTAATTTTTTTATATTGAAAATAAAGGAAGGAATAAAAGTAAAAAAAGGAAAGTGGGAGAATATCAATAATTGAATTGGGCACGTGTAGCGAGTGCACCGAGAGGAAGACCCAGCTATGGTGTTCCTTCCCTCCCTCCATTCCTCCTTTGTTGCAACAAAAGCTGTGTGCTTTCAGTCATCGCCACCGCCAAAAAAGTAAAAGATCCAATAAAGTTCAAAGAAACCCTCAAAAACAACAAAAAGACAACTCCATATACTCTTCCCAATTATCAGTTTCTCATTCTTCCTTCTTTTTTTTTTACCCCTTTAACTCCCTTCTCTCCCATTCTCAATCTTGCTCTCTCTACCCTAAACGTTTTTCTGATCGTCCTCTCCTTTCTCGTGGCTTTTGATCTTCACTATTAGATAAAGGTAAGTTTCTGGGTATTTGTTTCTGAGACTCTTGATGTGGGTTTCATTTTCTGAGTTTGGATTGGCTTGATTCAGTAGCAATTTTTATTTGATTTTTGGGTTTAAAGTACATTAATTTAGTGCCATCTATGGGTTTTGATTCTGGGCTTTTGTGTTCTGAATTTAGAATATCTTCATTCATTGGCAACATTTAGTTTAGTAAGAATTGTTAATTTTGAATGCTATGGCTTTCTGTTGCATTTTGATTCTCGATTATTGGCTTATATTGTGGTTGATTGGTGAAAAGCATAGCTTTTTGTTATGGATTTGTGATGCAAGGTTGAATTTTTATATTTAGGAAGTAATCTCATACATTGGATGCTTCTATAGGAAATTAATGTTATTTAGTTTCATTTCATATCTTTACTTTGAACTATGATTGCCAATTTAAAAACCCTTGATGCCAGTATGATTCCAATTTTAATTTTGAAGGTTTAAGTTTCTGATAGATGGAGGGAGGAAAGGTTTCTGAGAACCATTTGACTTCAGCCGCAGCGTTTGTGGAAGGTGGAGTTCAGGATGCTTGTGATGATGCTTGCAGCATATGCCTTGAAGCGTTTCCTGACAACGATCCATCATCTGTATGTATTAATTTTCTCGTTGTAGGCTATTGTGGATTGAAATTGGTCCGTTCTCATTAGCGATGGTGCCTTTCTACCTGCAGGTTACGGTTTGCAAGCATGAATTTCACCTGCAGTGCATCCTTGAATGGTATGATTTATTTATGCCCTAGAACTAGATTGTCTTGTTTCTTGGTTTTTTATACTTGTATAGTAGCATATTTCCTTTACAAGTAGTGTGTTGATGCACAAAAAAACATATTTTTATTGCATTTTCTATAGGAGCACCGTTTTATGTCTGTGTACCACTCACGCCAAAAGCTATAGCTAGACATGGCCCCTTTACCGGCCCTGCCCAACAATTCCCTCTCCCAGCACCGACCAATTGTAATTGGTATTGAACCTGTGACCTGGCTCTGATACCACTTGTTAGGATCAAACGCTTATCTCTCATGCCAAAAGCTATAGCTAGTAGCAAATGCGCAACTTATTTCCTTACTTATAAACCTAACCAAGAGTATAATTTCATCACACCTGCCTTAAACTCATAGAGTTTTGAGTGGTTTACAATTTTGTTTTGCAGGGGCCAGAGAAGCTCACAGTGCCCTATGTGTTGGCAGTCTCTTAGTTTGAAAGACCCCAACAGGTTTCTCTTCTGTTTCTAAGACCATTCACTTTTTTTTTTTTTAATCTAAAAAGTATGAAATTTATTCTTGGTTCTTCCTTTGATATGCTGACTATGTTATGCTTCCAGCCAGGAACTGTTTGATGCAGTAGAACATGAGAGGAATATCAGGATGAACCCGCCAAGAAACACCACAATTTTTCGTCACCCAACCTTGGGGGATTTTGAATTGCAGCATGTTTGTACTATTATTATTATTCTATTTGCATTTCGAGACGTTTCTGCTTCCACAATATTTCCTATATTGATCGACAATCATTTGGCATATTCCCTGTTGCAGTTACCAGTTAGCTCGACTGATTCTGAGCTGGAAGAGCGCATTATTCAACACTTAGCTGCTGCTGCCGCTATGGGCAGGGCACGGCACCTTGCTAGGAGAGGAGGTCAGAGGGGTAGGGCATCGTCTCAAGGGCATCCTCATTTTCTCGTGTTTTCAACAAATCCAAATCCATCTCCTACGCTCCCTGCCTTCTCTACCCAGAGGACTGGAGGTGAACCCGCATCTCCAGTCCCGGTTAGTGGCTCTACTCCTCCAGTTGTGGTTGGTGAAGGCTCGGGGCAATTCGTTGCACTACCGTCTTCTGCCCAAATGGATTCTATCTCTGGAGCGGGATTAAGTGCTGGTGTTGGTCAACTTGGAACTTCATCAAATAATAACCGGTATCTTTGATTAATATTAGTCCCTTTGTCTCATTTTACTTGTCATGTTTACTATTCACTGATCAAACCAACTCTTTTTTGGGGGCTTATTTTCTTTAGTATTTTTTAAATTATTTTTAAATTTGATTTGTTGTGTTTAATAGTACTTTTAATTTAGTTTCTAAATATATCAAATTTATAATGACAGAGGTCGGGAGTTCGAACCCCCTCTCGTATGGAAAAACCAATCTGGCCAGCACTTTGCCCCTTAATTGGGCCCGGTTCGGTGCGAATGGGGATTAGTCTGAGTATGGTATGGGCTTAAAGGTGCCTCTTACAGTTAGGGCCTGCTCAGGACAAAAAAAATTTATACTAATACTAAACTTAATATTATGAAAAATTGAATTAACAATAGCTTTAGTCAAGCCTCGTTAATCGAACCAGACACATAAAATGGGACAGAGGAGTAATAGACAAGTTATTAGTTGGGTTAGAAAATTGATCCTCATTCTCTTGTTGCTTGCTTGTGTCTTTGTGCAGTTACGCATAGTTCATTCTGTTTCTTGAGCTTATTGTTTGAATTTATTTTATTTGACCTTTATAGGGGGTCTCCTTCTCAGTCTTCTCCTCACAATCAAAATAGAGCTGGACCGTCTGATTTTCAGTCTTTCTCAGAATCTATAAAATCACGACTTAGTGCAATGTCAATGAGGTATCTATCCAGCTACACAAAGCATTTTATGTTAGCTTCCGTTTTCATGATTTCCTAGTTGCGAAAATTGACACTTGTTTCCTTTTAAGATACAAAGAGTCCATCACCAAGAGCACGAGAGGTTGGAAGGAGAGATTTTTCTCTCGAAATAATAATTCTATGCAAGATCATGATGGTTCAGAAGCTCGGAATGAGGTCAGTTCAGATCTTGCCACTAGGGAGACTGGTAGGACTCCGGTTTCTCCTTTATCAAATAGGTCGGAGGATGATTTACCGCATTTGCTACCAGATCGCTCTGAGCAGCGAATCTCGGAGATCGATGGTAACCGTTCGTTGAGTGAGGGTAACAGTCAAACTCCTTGCGCTACGAGCTCTTCCCACTGAATTTTGATCGAGTGGTGTATCAAAGTTACGACCTTTTCTCTTAAAGGTAATTGGCCGTTTTGGTAGTTCTCTAGATTTTACTTGCTTTCCCTCTTTTGTTATCAGACCCTCCCGATAACTATATATGATGGAAACTCTAGCTGGTTTTCGTTTCTGTCTTTATTTCAAAAAGTGCAACGCCAATGATCGTTTTGTCATCAGATTGTTTCTTTGGTTTTCAGATGGATTAGCGCTGTGAAAAAAACGCGTTGGCAGTATTTTCCTTCCATCTGGCGTTGCTGATTGTAGCTTCCAAAGTCGATATATGAGGATGGAGCTCTTCATATGCTTTGGACCAGTATATATAACAATGAATTTAGATATGTAATTTGCTCCATATGTTTAAATTTATATATCAATGTATCTTATTTTCTTCTGATTCAAATGGTCTCTTCTGAATGGATGGATGGATCCTTCAAACTCTGAATTAGACACAATTGCTTCATTAATCTGTACCCCTTTTTCTGTGTTACACATTAATCAAATCCAATTGCATTATATTCATTGCCTGTTTATTACTTATTTTTATATCGATTAATAGACAGGATCAAATGCTGATGCGCACAAGAAATTTGTCCACTTTGAACATAATCTTACACTTCTGTTACCGAGTTCAAATCTTAATTTTTTCTCCTAAATACTACTTACTGAACCAGTTAGCTTGATAAGGTACTAAGAACATAAAATAAAATTCATAAAGCTAATTCTAATAAAATACTGTGAAACCTTACACAATGAACATTTAAAATGAGAGGTACAGTCTAAAATATGGCAAACCAACTGAAAAAAATGGAGAAGGTGCTCTACTCAAATTTCTTTATCAATGAGAGGTCATTTAGCATCTTCTCAATTGCCTCATCGTCCAGTGCACGCCCTCTGTTCTTAATGGATGGGACCATGGCAATCGCTTCCTCAACGGTTTCTGGGCAAAGGTTTCCCAGAACACAAAGCTCGAATTCAGCAAGCTTATATCTACTCAGGATTTCTCGAACTTGTCTCACAGCATCAGGGTTCTTGTACCGGCTGAAACGCTTCACGTATTGAAGTGACTTCTCAAACACTCTGAAACAGAAAAGCAAGCCATTACGAAACAATTAGGATATATATACACAAACAACATATTTTTGTTAAGCCCAATAAAATAGGAGAAAAACTAAAGATGCTTCATATGTTTCTTTTTTATTTTTCAATGTAGGACTCTTAACACTCCCCTTGGAATGGACAACCAGGGTGAACACAAAGTGGACCAAACAAGCTCTAATACCATGTTATAATCTAAGATTGGGTAACTGGACTATTTCTCTCATATTTTTCTCATATTTTTCAATATTGTACTCCTAACATTTATCAATAGCCACTGAATATGATAACAGCACTTACTGGGAAACTTGATTTGTTGGATCCTCAGACATCTGCTGAATCTGCTCATACTTGTGTTCAAGAATCAAAGAAACCTCACAGTTCATCAGACACTTCGCCTTGAGAAATTCTAAAACCACGGAAACAGATACAAACATATCAAAACAAATTCAAACGACAACCCTATATGCTTAAGAACATAAACTCCAGAAATCAATCCTACCAAACTACTATTCGCTACAGTGATTTCCCTACAAGTTTTCTTTAATTTTGAGAAATTAGAATTGAATTTAAATATTTTCAGGCATACATCAAAACAAAAGAACCAACTACTCCAATTCGAAAAAGAGAAACTACAGGGAGCAACCTGCAACCCTTCACAGTAATAGCAAAATCTACGAGAGTTTTATGCTTAAATTCATAAATAAACAATACTAAAACTTTTAATCCTTAAACTTCAGAATCGTTCATTTTTTGAAGAGAAAAATCGAATCTTTAACAATCAGTGTCCATAGATCTCGACTCAGAAGAAAACCGAAAAGAGAAAATATAACAAAAACAATTAATTAATCTTAGGGTATGTACAAACCATCTCCGATTTTAAGCTCCGCAGCGTTCTCCTCCTCTTCTACTGACATTGTGGCGAGAAAAAGCGTTATATAAACCGCGGCGTTCTCCTCTTATGTTTCGCACTATCTGCGAACATGGAGTAATGGAGTATATATAAACCTGAATGCTCTTTCTTCTAAGTCAATTGGGAATGGGAATTTACACTATTTTCCTTATTTTTATTATATTTTTAAATTGACGGGGCATTGAGTTGGGCTTGTGGGAATTAGTTTGGCGGTTTGGGTTTATTTAGGCTGAGTGTGTTTTGGGTTTTCGTCTTTAATTGGGCTAAGTAAATGCCCACAAATACATAATACAATTGTTAAGACCAGATCTATCTTACATTAGCCAAAACAACGTCGTTTTGTATCTTTTTTTTTTTTTTTTTTTTTTTAATATTCCTTTTCCCGTTTCTAACTTCTAAAATAAAAATCCATGTTTCATATATACAGAATTGTATAGTAAAAAACACATAAACTCTTAACATAATACATATAATCTAATATAATACATAATACACATAAACTCTTAACATAATACACATAAACACAAGTGTTAAAAAAAAAAAAAAAAACTGTAACGGACGGAACGGTGTCCATCACGTCAACTCCCCACCAACTTATAAAAATGACATCGTTTTGGAAATTGTGCGCCCTGGTGCACGATATAACGATTGCTTACATTGTGGATCCTCTTCTAAAAATTATGTGTTTGCAGTTAACATATTTTGTAATTGCAGTTAATAGTTTATGTGCCTGTAAATAAATTGAAGTCACATAATATGTTAACCACAGACACATAACATTGTAACTACATACACATAATATGTTAACTGAAGGTACATAATATTTTAACAATATATATATGTTTGCAATTAATAAATTATGTGTCTATAGTTACCATGTTATTTGTCTGTGGTTAAGAATATGTTAACGGCAGACACATAATCTAAAGATTATTTTAAACTCGGGTCCACAATGCAAAGTAGACATTGATCAATGGTATAATTTACCGACATAATAGACAAATTATATCGTGGACTTGGGTCCATGTTAGATTATAATCCATGTACATAAAAATAATACTATAAGTTTATAAAAAAATCAGGTTAAAAAAAAAATACTACAGGTTCATAAAAATAGTACAAATTAATCAATTATCACTTAAATATATTATTATTTATTTATTTTTGTTTAAATAAACGTGATATATAAAAAAATATCTTGTTGAAATCTTTTAAAGATCATCTATATTGATCTATTTTTCAATATATTATTTTAATAATTGTGTGATGAATTTACAGTAGTTATTTTATGAACCCACGGACTATAATAATGACTTTATGAACCTAACTAAAGTATTAATTTGATAAATCTACAATAGTTATTTAATAAATTTGTAGTAATGACTTTATAAATATGTATTAATAACTTTATTAACCTATAGTAGTGACTTTATATAAATGCAAGGGTAACTTTATAAATGTATGGTGGTAACTTTATAAATATGCAATGGTGTTTTTTATGAACATACAGTAGTGACTTGATATATTTGCAGTTGTGTCTTTGTAAATTTATAGTAGTGTAGTGATTTATGAACCTATTGTAATAATTTTATGTACATGTAGATTCGTGTTCATATTGCTATATGCACATTAATCCATGATTTAACTACTATATCTAGGCTGGTTTCAAAAAAAAAAAAACTTCTATATCTAGAGCTTTGTTTGACAGAGCTTATTTAGGAGCTTATAACTTATTTTAAACTACTAATAAACTATAAGCTTTGTTTGATAATATTTCCAAAATAAGCGAATAGTTTTTAATTTTTTTTTCCATCTTTATCCTTATTATTTTAAATAATGACATCATTTATCCCTCTCAATTAAAACCCTTTTTGGCCTTTTCTTTTCTCCTATTATTTTTATTCATCATCGTTCCGCGACTCTTTCACCCCAAGCATCCTCATTCATCTTCATTCGAACAACTGTTTAGAAACCTCGTAATCCTTGGTATGGTTTTTCCTTATATTTTTTGTTGTTGGTATATATGTTCTTTAGGTGCGTTTGTATGTGAGACAAAAATTTGTCTATGGTTTTTTTCTTTTACTTTGTATGTTAGTCGTAGGGAAGTGAAAATATTTATGTGTATTATGTTAGGCGATTTTGTTTTCAAATTCGGTGTCTTGCCCGCTCCTATTTTAGGTCATTGATGGTTGCTTGTATGACTCTGAATTTTTATTTAAAAATATTTTTTTTTTGCTTGAATTGGTTGTTAATTGATTCCTATGCCATATCTTTGCCAAGCTTCAAAATAGAATAGAATTGTGAAGCAAGTAAAGTTAGTTGTTAGTGAAGCGTATGCATGTGAAGTTTGATGGCATCAATTCTTGAACAACATGAGCTTCCATCTTGATTCTTGAATACCCTTTTCACTCATGCTTTGTTTTGTATGGTTTTCTTGTTAGTTTTGGTTGGCCAATCATATTCTTTATATGTTAAAAAAAAAAACTACTTTTCAAATATAGTTGCATGTATTTTGCTTGTTTTCGAACTGGCTATGCACTAATGCACATGGACACAAACTTTGTTCCTTGCATTAGTATTTCACCCTGTAAATATATATTAATCATCAAGTGTATTTAGCAATTGGGTGAGCAATATTTAAGTCATATTTTCCTAAATCAAAAGCTTTTGAAACACACAAAAATTAACTTTGTTCAATTCTCAATTAACTAATTAGTTAAAGAAATTTTTTATATATTGAAGATGTAGTTTTTAGTCTTTTTACATTTATCAGCTTATCAAAAGCTAATTTTACCAAATACTTTAAAGCATAATCAGCTAGTTTAACAGCTCTTCAGTTTTCAGCTTTTAACTTATAGCTTTTCAGTTAGGTTTGCCAAACATAACATTATGCAAGTTATAAATTAAATATGTGATTGTGACTACTCATTTGAAATGGTAACAGATGTGTCATCACACTATATAATAGTTGGCATTATTATTATTATTATTATTATTATTATTATTATTATTATTATTATTTGTAGCTTTTTATTGATTGGGGTTAGGAGGCTGACTTCGAAATGAAAATAACCGCCACAGGAGATGCCCTTATTTAATTTATTTTTTTTTTTTTTTTGGGGTTGTGGATTGTCAATCCCTAAAAATCACTCCACCTAACAAATCATTGGTGAAGTCGGTGGAATCATTCTCCACATGCTTCATCACCCACATAAATATGTAAACGAGTCTGATGGGTTGGGGTTCAGCCTTGGAAGAATGTAAATGAGTCTGATTAAATTTGACTTATCTCACTCTTAATCATTAAGTTATGAAATTATTAAAATAAAAGTTCAGCTTACAAGTTAGATTCGCCACACTTTATTGCTTTGAATTCGGTAAATCAATTTTAAGACATTTCAAAATTTATTTTATAACGAGTTTATTTATTTATTTTGCTTAAAGGCAAGTATAACAAGATAATAATACCATTATAACAATTCATTAAGGGTTGGTTTGGAAACTCGAAATCTAGTATTTGGATACTCAAGAAAAATGAAGTTCAAGCAAAATATTCATTCTGTGCAACAAAAAAATGACTCAATTTAACAAAAATGTCTTCCTATTTTTTTTAATCGAAAATATTTTCTCGATTCTTTAATTTCTATTTCTCTTCTCCCTCTTCTTTTTTAATTTAGTTTCTAGATTATTATTATTACCACCAGCACCACCTCGACCACCTCGACCACCACCACACCATCACACAACCACCACCAACACCACCCGTCCACCACCACTACAACGAACACCAACACCACCATACCACTGCTTATTATTATTATTATTATTATTATTATTATTATAACAAATAATATCTTAATTTTAAAGAAAATAAACCAAACAGAAAATGCAATTTCTTAACTTGCAGCCAAACAAAAAAAAAAGATTTGTTTTTTTTTTTTTTTTGACATTTAAGCTAAAGACCAGAAAATTAAAATATTTTCTAGAAATTGAGTCATTTGAAAATTATTTTTAGAAAAATATTTTTCAGGTTTCTAAACAGACCCTTAATCAACGAATACCACAATACAACTAGTAAACTTGTAACTGAATGACAAACGTTTCTAATTTTAAACTCGTAACCCCAACTAAGCTAAGATGGCTAATTTTAAACTTGTAACCACAATGTCACGAGTTCAAATCACAACTTTTTATTATTATTATTATTTTTTATTTAAGCTGGTCAACTATAAGCAACCTAAGCTGATTCACCTCTTTGTGGTCCTTTGCCAGTTAGGATCACAAAGCAAACCCCGCCCTTAGATAGTGACTGTCGTAGGTTTCGCTCTTCACCCCAAAATAAGTTTGATTTTCAAGTCTTCAATCTCCTCATATGGATCCTGGCAAAAATAATACCAAAACACAAACACAAATCACTCGATTCAAGATCTATATATCGGTGATAAAAACACTAAACCCTTTAGTAAGTGACTATATACTCACCATTTCAAATACATACGCGTAATCCATCAGCTAGTGATTGAATTATAAGAAGACTTTTATGGTTTAGGAATTGAATGAAAGTTGTATGTGGTGTGAATTGAATATAATTGGGCAAAGAGACAAAAGGTAGTGGTGTCCAAATTTCACTACCCATTAAAAGGAGATGATGGTAGAAAACTGCAATGATGATACATAACATTATATTGTTTGATACATAGTGCACAAAGTGTGTGTCCATACAAATTCAGCTCTTATTACCTTTCGCACTCACAATTGATGCACTCACGCCACCAAATTTCAACGTGCCCGCTAGCTGCTACCGCCTCTCATACAATATATAATGGAAACATCAATTCAGAGCCCTCACCTATCATGTACTATCTGCCCGCATTTTTTAGGCAATAAAATTAACTCTCTTTTTGTTTTCGTTTAGTTGCAGTGTACCACCATCTACCCTTCTTAGTCCTTATTATATTGTGAATCATGATTTACCCTCCAAACTAGTATTTACCACTGCACTACCTTCTTTTTTTTTTTTTTCAAAATCGAGGAAAAAGAATCTAAAAAACTTAAGATCATTC